GAAAACCCCTCCACCCCCAACCCTTCCCCCCCCTTTTTTTCCCCCCCGAAACCTGCTTTTCCCCCCCCCCCCCCCCCCCCCCCACTCTTCCCCTCGTCTGTTCGCTCACCCCGCTCATGCTCCCTCCGCTCCCATTCCCGTCAACGTGACCAGTCGCATCCCACCCCCCTCCATTCCAGATGCTCAAGTTCCGCAACATCTCCCTCCTTCGTCGCATCTATGTCTGGGGCCTCGGCGTCATCACCCGCATCGCCTACGGTCCTGACTTGCGCAATGCCGCTTCGCTTGAAAATGAACCAAACCCGGACATCTCTCGTATCCGACGCATCAATTCTGAGCTCGAGTTCGGCCCGGGCGTCTGGCAGAAGGAGTTCATCCAGAGCTCTGTTCGCGTCTCTCACAATGACATGAATGAGGCCTTTCAACTCGGCGACATCGCCAATTTTGTTTCTGACGGTGTGCAGGCTATCGCCGCTGACACCCTCACCGCTTGTTTCACTGCCGAGCCCCCAGATCCGTGGAACTTTCTGACGAGGAACATTCCGGCGGGACAATGGCAGATGACCCCGTACAATACATTGCTTTGGCTCGTTGGCATTTGGGCCAGGTACTGTTTCTTGCTCCCACTCCGGTTAATGGTCATCATCGTCGGCGCCATTTCGTTTTCACTCGGCTGGCCGCTGGCCACACTGTTGCCGGGCGAGGAGCGCAAACGCGTCGCCCACAAATGGCTGCTGCGATACCTCGCCTCCGTTGTAGTTCTCTCCTGGTCCGGCTATGTTAAATTTCATGGCAAGCGCCCCGAGCGTCGTCCGAATCAGATTTATGTGGCGAACCACACCTCCCCAATCGACCTGTTCATTCTGCAAAAGGACTACAACTTTAGTTGCATTGGGCAGCGTCATAGCGGGCTCGCTGGCTTCCTTCAGGATTTGCTCATGGCGGCACAGGACCATGTGTGGTTTGATAGGGGGGAAGCGGGGGATCGTCGTGCGGTGATACGCCTTTTGAGAGAGCACGTCGCAGATGGTAACAAGGAGCCCATGCTGGTATTTCCGGAGGGGACTTGTACGCATTCTGAGTATTGCATCATGTTCAAGAAGGGGAGTTTTGAACTTGGTGCTGAAGTGCACCCGATTGCTATGCGATACAGGCGACGCTTTGGTGACCCGTTTTGGAACTCTCAGAATACATCGTTTCCGAGACACCTGTTTGAGTTGATGACATCATGGGCTGTGGTTTGCGACGTGTACTACATAGATCCCGTGCACATTCGAGAGGACGAGACAGCGGTGCAGTTTGCAAACCGTGTGAAGCGGCTTATTTGCGAGCGAGCAAGTCTCGTCAGCGTGAACTGGGACGGGTTCCTCAAGCGGCATCGGATTTCACCGAAATTCCTCGACTCACGGCAACGTGCGTTTGCTTCAATTATCACTCGTCGTCTTCAAGGTGAGCTTCCCCGACCGATGAGTTCATCCGCTCTGGCTGCAATAGCATCTGGTGGGCTCGCACAAACTTCCGAACACCCATTAACAAGCGGGATGGACTCACTCGGATTCTTCGATAAGCGAATGAATAAGCAGGAGTTGCGGGCGCCAAGAAGATCGTCGAGGCTGTATCGAAATGTGCTGACGCTTCGTAGGCGTAGGGGCGAGGACGCAGATGAAACAGATAGGGGGACGATTGGGCTTGCTGGGCGGAGGCAAAGAACGGTGCGGTTTATGGAGAGCACGCTGCAGAACACTGTGCGATGGGCGATGGGAATTGGATTGTTCGTCGCGGCGGCGCTGGTGACGGATCGATTCATGCCAGCGTCTTGGAAAGAAGCTGTGCGAAACGGTTTGATTCAATGACAGTAGCAGTCGCAGAGTGTGATGCACTCAGAATAGGTACGTTTGCATAGGGCGGAGATGTACGTCAAGTCGTCACGAAATGGGAATTCGGAATCCGTTAACTGCGGCACGTTGAATGTGACCAGTCGGGCACACGCGGTCTGCTCGTGGTCATGACCCAAAACTAGTTTGTTTATGCGCAAGTCGACAGCGGTCGACGGTTTGTACTTGGAAGGTTAAATCGCTTGGTGTCAATATACATGCCTGTGCTCCTCACTCCGCGTCCCCTTTTCCCTTGACATAGTTATTCCACCCTCCCCACTTGGTTACATCGAGCGTGGTAACGCCCATACACTTGGCCATGTCCGGATGCGCGGCCCAGCTCTCCGCAATGAAGCCCTTGACCCTCTCCCCGCCGTTGAGCACGACGGTGCCGAAGCCGAACGGGCTGGGCACGCGGGCGAGGAAGGCGCCCACGGCCTCGTCGGGCAGGTCCCACAGCTCGACGGGCATCTTGGCGGTGCCGTCCGTCGCGCCCGGGAAGTGGATCAGCGCGGGCTTCTGCGGCGTCGACGCGTCCGCCACGGCGTACATCTTGTAGTCCGCGCTCGTGTGCGCCGCGCGTACAAAGCTGGCGCCGAACGATACCAGCTCCGGGTTGAGCGCGCCCCCGCGCAGGTGCAGACCGCACACGGCGAAGATCATTTGCGGGCCCGTTCTACGCGACGCGCTCGTGTATGCGCGGCGCGGGAGGACGCGGGTGTCGGGGTGGGGAGAGGAGGCGCGGAATGAAGGCTGTATGTAGGCTGGGGAGGTGAGTAGGGGGGGAGTAGGGGGGGAGTAGGGGGGCGTAGGGGGGAAGTAGGGGGGTGGTGCAATCGACAAAACGGCCGTCGTTCGGAACGGCCCTCGAACTACCCTACCAAGGGTAACGGCCCGCGAACTCTTCGTTCGGAACGGCCTGACTCCCTGCCCTGGTCAGGACTCCCAACTCTGGCGGAGCAGTGCATCTCCGGTCTGATTGCAGTGCTGCAGAATCGGCGAAATCTCTCGTCAGCAGGTTCCATTTTCTGCGCACCATCGCGCCCCCTGATTGGGCGCGAAATACCCCTGTCCACCCGATACGACGCTTGTCCACACCCCACGGTATCATATCCTATCTTATCTCCCTCGAGCTCCGTCCCACCCCACCCGCCCCGCTCCCCTCTCCACATCGTCTCCGCCACGTTCCCCACTTTTTGGAGAAACGGGGTATATCGTGGCATGGAATGGTACTGTTTTACTTACCAATGGTCTACAGTGGCAACGGCGAGTACAATGGACCGGAACACCTTTCTATGATTTACTATGATCACATCGTTC